AGATCCGTAAGTCACTGGCAACACGCACTGGTTGTACAATTTCGTTTTAAGGTTTTGAGGTATGTCTAACGAGAAGATGTGTCGTACTTTCCCGAACGATGCCCAGCCGAGTTGAATCCGTCGATTGACCTCTCGGTCGAAGTTGGACTTACCTTGTCGGACTATTTGTCCAAGGTAAACATACTCATCAACAACTTCGAGCTTAGTGCTCCCAATAACTACCGAGGTTACTTGAGGTTAGTGAGCATAGTGCTTAGGTCCTACAGCGATTCTGCCATAAGGATTATATCGTCGGCAAAATGGTGAGTGATGTATTCACCATTGATGTTAATACCGTATCCTTTCCAGTACTGGAGCTTAAAAACGTCTTCCTATGCAGCGGTGAAGAGTTTCGGGGATATAACGTCACCCTGTCTTATACCTCTCTGCAGTTGGATAGGTTTCGTACTCTGGTTTTTTACTCGGATAGCCGTCTTAGCTCTTCTGTACAAGCACTTTAGCACTTCGATATACCGACAGTCAACTTTGCACCGCTGAAGGGACTGCAGCACCGCCCAAATTTCGAAGCAATCAAAGGCTTTCTCATAGTCCACATACGCCAGACATAGCGGCAAATTTAACTGCTCGGACTTCTGTACAATTTGCCGAAGGGTGTGTATGTGGTCTATGAGACTAAAGCCTTTTCGGAAACCGGCTTGTTCGGGAAGCTGGAAGTCGACAAGTCTGCGTGCGAGACGATTCGTAATGACTCTCGAAAACAGCACGAAGACGGGGCTAAGAAGGGTAATGGGACTGTACTTCTTCAAGAGCGCGTTGTCGCCTTTCTTGAAGAACAAGACCACTGCACTTCTGCTCCACGCCTCCGGAGTAGTGCCACCATAGAGAATGGCATTAAAAAGCTTCTGAAGGACTTCAAGTACCGGTTATCCACCTGCTTTCAAAAGCTCCGCTGTAATTCCATTCTCACCTGGGGTGCTGCCGTTTTTATGGTGCTGGAGAGCCATTCTAATCTCGCTTAGACTGACGTCCGGGATATCTTTGGAATAGTGTCGGATAAGACTCGGATCGTTACTCACATTTGCGTGTGGCTCCAACGATGACATGTACAGCTGCCCATAGAACCTCTCAATCTCAATCAAAATCTCAGATGCCCCGAAAACGATGCCACACTCGGTATTCTGCTTTGACAGTTGGCTCTTTCTGGCACACAGATCTCTGGCAAAGACTTTGGATCCTTGGTTTCGCACGATCGCTTCTTCAATACGAGCTGTATTAAAGTTGCGTAAGTCTCGCGGCATGCATTTGGAGATCTGTCTGTTCAGTTGCCTGTATGCTGTCAAATCTGTTGAATTCTGTAGCTTCATCTCCCGTATAACAGCCTTGAGATTTAAAGTGTGATCGGAGAGTTTTTGTGTTGTTCTGCGGCGGGTCTTGCAGAACTTAGCTCCAACCGCATGGACAGTTTCCACGAGCTTGTCATTCATATCGTCCACTTCATTGCAGTTTTCGAGGCACTAAAAACGGTTTTGTAACTCGAGCTAAAAGGATTCGGGATTTTGGAATAGAGCACGAGCGGGACGGAGCGTTGCCTTCATTAGAATACACCTCTCCAACTTAACGTTTAGGTTCAGTGTGCCTCTCACCATTCGGTGATCGCTACCAGTTTTCACCCTCGCGGTATCACGGAGACATCACTGAACAGTTATCATCTAGTTGTCATAATGAAGTCAATCTCATTTTTTGTCGAACCATTGGGGCTCGACCAGGTCTACTTCCTGTGGGGCCGCTTCTGGAAGAAAGAGTTCACCGTAAAGAGTCCCTCTTTCTCCATGAATTCGGCCAGCTGCTGGCCCTTTGGGTTCCGTTGCCCTATTCCAAATTTCCCCACTCTCAGCTCACCGTTCTCTCTTGTGCCTAGTTTTGCATTGAAGTCTCCCATTAACACCGTATATTGGGTTTTGGAAGAATGCATGGCTCTAGAGATATTCTCATACATTTCTTCCACCTCCTCATCGGAGTGTGCCGGGGTTGGTGCGTAAACCTGTATGAACTTCAGCGAATACCGTTTGATGATTCTGAGTATAAGGTACGCAACCCTCTCGATCTTTACAACGTTGGTAACGAGAGACTTGTGGACGATAAATCCGACACCTCCTTGGGACAGATGATCGCCCTCCCGGTGATAGAGTAAGTTGCCGGATTCGAAGGGTACCGTGTCCTCCCCCTCTCTTCGGACCTCGGATAATCCTATAATATGCCAGTGTAACTTGTCTAACTCTTCTTCCAGCTCCACGATCTTCTCGTCAGTCCTCAGGGTGCCTGCGTTGTATGTTGCCAGGTCGAGTCGTCTTAGGTGGCAACCGAACCTCCACCGGAGATTCTTAGCACCCCGTGCCCCGCCGTTACCATGGTCGCCACCGTAGCCAGGATTAGCGGGGCCGCCGGTGACTGGGGGCCGTCTCTTTGTTTCTTTCATAGGGGGGTATTTGCCATAGCTGCCACGCTTGGCGAGTGGGTTGGCAACCGCAGTTTTTTTATTGTAATTTTACTGTTATCAGGAAGTTGCTGATAACATGATGCCCATCTCCTGCCTGTTTCCCTTTGTCGCCTTTTACGACACCCACGGGAAGATGTGGGGTAGTGGATATTCTTAACCGCCACTACGCGGCGTATTTTATATGTATTTTTATTTTAAACATAAATATACACTCTTAATCGAGCCATTCTGCATCTATATTATGGTTTTAGCACAAATGGGTCAGGTCGATGGTATAGGGTGAGTGTAAAGCACCGTTGAACTCTTTTACTGAAACGAGGCAATTCATTTTATTCCTTTTTATATAGGATAGGGTGACAAAGGAGCACATAGTCCACCTGATGGTATGTAGTTGCTGTGATCCACAGACATCTACATTTATCCTCAATAAAGACTCAAAATGCAGATTCACCCGTGAAGACTAAGATGGAATGCCTATTTTCCAGTAAAATGGATCTCCGGTTCTCTACACTCACCATACGAAATACAAGCTGCCATTTACGCTGGTATTCTGTGAGAGCCTGGTCCTTCCCTGGTCAAGCCGCCCCATTCTTGCTACAACTATACTACTAATATAGCTGCAGCATGGATCTACTACGTAAAAAAAGTCCTAGGGTGAGAACGCAACTGTATTTTGATTCTTACTAAAAGGATAAATGTAAATGTCTGTAGGCAACATTATCCACTATTTGTTACACTTATTTCATATAAACATCCTTGTAAAGGTATGATTCGTTACAATAATACGAAGTGAATGAATGTAAATGTGCCTATTTAGTGGTATGTGTTACTTTAATGCGAAGCTTCCAACTGTGATAAGGACTAATGTTACAAAGCTCTTAGCCCCGCTCTTTACTTCTCACTCTACTTATATCAATTCATCTTAAGGAAACACCACATTAAACAAAATACTCAGAACTATTCTAAGTTAATACAAATATGTGTTTCGCTCTCAATGCGTTATACGAGTATTCACTACTCTGAATAATCGAATTCACAAGGATCCTAATTTAAAGACTCTGTCTCAGATGGACATATGAAAAACACTAAGTATAGTTAATAGTTTATTGCGATTCTTTTATAACACACCTTTTTAGAGAAAAAATTGTCTATCACGAGAACAAAGAGAATATTGTACAGCAATATGACGGTAGTGACACAATTATTTACAAACAAAAATAATAAGCTCCTGTGGAATTTTTAATAGCAACTAATTGCAGTGGTGAGCGTTGACATCTTCCCCCCCATTGAAAGACCTGGGCTTTCAATCTTGAAGGTCTTCTTGGTTTGGAAGGGGACATAGGCGCACGAAAGGTCGGCGAATGCATCATCTTGTTGTACTGATGTCTGCTACTCTCGAAATGCCATCTGAACCCGGAAAAAGTCTTGCTACACGTCCCAGACGCCAGCATAAAGGTGGAAGCGAATCTTCTTTGATAATAACTAGGTCTCCAAACTTTAGTTTGTCTTTAGTCGTTTTCCACTTTGTTCTTAGCTGCAATTCCGATATATATTCGTTTTGCCACTTCTGCCAAAAATGCTGTCGAATTTGTTCTAATCTTGCGTGTCTTTGTAGAGCATTTTCCTTTGCATTGAGAAGATTTGGAGATGGTAAAGCAGTTAGCTGTCTTCCTATGAGAAAGTGCCCTGGGGAAAGTCAAAGGTAATCGTTCAGGGACGAGGATAATGGACAAAGGGGACGACTGTTAAGTATAGCCTCAACTTGCGCAAATAACGTTGAAAGCTCTTCGAAAGTTAAATGAGAATTGCCCATAACGCGCTTAATGTGAAATTTGGCTGATTTTACACCTGCTTCCCAAATACCGCCGAAGTGAGGAGCGTAAGATGGTATGAAAACAAATTTGAAACCTTCTCTATTCAACAATTCTGTACTTAAGGGCAATGAAAATTTAACGTTTAGTGAATCTTCAAGCATGCTAGGATTGGGGTGGAATCCCTATAATGATATATTACACTTTCCTATAATCCTCCCCCCTACAAATATACGTGCAACTAAGAGGTCTATCATGTCCAATGCTTTTAAGATCTTTGACCCCTTGGGTCTTCTAAGTCCATGTGTCATTGTACCTAAAATTCTATTACAAAAAATTTGGCAGCTTAAACTAGACTGGGATGAGCCAGTTCCATCAAACATCAATTCGATTTGGCAAGGCTTTGTGGATTCGCTACCTATCTTATCACGATCAGAGATTCAAATTATGTCTCAGATGGACATATGAAAAACACTAAGTATAGTTAATAGTTTATTGCGATTCTTTTATAACACACCTTTTTAGAGAAAAAATTGTCTATCACGAGAACAAAGAGAATATTGTACAGCAATATGACGGTAGTGACACAATTATTTACAAACAAAAATAATAAGCTCCTGTGGAATTTTTAATAGCAACTAATTGCAGTGGTGAGCGTTGACATCTTCCCCCCCATTGAAAGACCTGGGCTTTCAATCTTGAAGGTCTTCTTGGTTTGGAAGGGGACATAGGCGCACGAAAGGTCGGCGAATGCATCCTCTTGTTGTACTGATGTCTGCTACTCTCGAAATGCCATCTGAACCCGGAAAAAGTCTTGCTACACGTCCCAGACGCCAGCATAAAGGTGGAAGCGAATCTTCTTTGATAATAACTAGGTCTCCAACCTTTAGTTTGTCTTTAGTCGTTTTCCACTTTGTTCTTAGCTGCAATTCCGATATATATTCGTTTTGCCATTTCTGCCAAAAATGCTGTCGAATTTGTTCTAATCTTGCGTGTCTTTGTAGAGCATTTTCCTTTGCATTGAGAAGATTTGGAGATGGTAAAGCAGTTAGCTGTCTTCCTATGAGAAAGTGCCCTGGGGAAAGGCAAAGGTAATCGTTCGGGGACGAGGATAATGGACAAAGGGGACGACTGTTAAGTATAGCCTCAACTTGCGCAAATAACGTTGAAAGCTCTTCGAAAGTTAAATGAGAATTGCCCATAACGCGCTTAATGTGAAATTTGGCTGATTTTACACCTGCTTCCCAAATACCGCCGAAGTGAGGAGCGTAAGATGGTATGAAAACAAATTTGAAACCTTCTTGAGTTGCAAAATCAGAGATAGTGCCAGTATGATTGCTTAGAAAGGAGGCGATTTCCTTTGATGCTGCCGTGAAATTTCGACCATTATCGCAAAATACCTCCGCTGGCCGGCCGCGTCGTGAAACGAACCTACGCAATGTCATAATGAAACAATCTTTAGTAAGGTCACTTAAAACTTCTAGGTGTATACATTTGTAGCGTAAGCAAACGAATATGCACATATAACATTTCATAAGCCTTGCACCACGACCTCTACGATTGAGTATGTAGAAAGGACCTGCAAAATCCAATCCTACAGAAATAAAAGGAAAGCCGGGGTTCACCCGCTGAGGGGGTAAGTCTCCCATTTTTGGTGTTAAAGTTTTACCTTGAGCACGTCGACAACGTACACACTTATAAAGAGTACGCCGTGCAAGATGTCTGCCGTTAATAGGCCAGATAGTATCTCTTACAATAGCGAGTAATGATTGGGGGCCTGCATGCATGCCGCGTAAGTGCTCATATGCAAAAATAAGTTTACAAAGATGATGAGATGAGTCTAATAATATCGGATGCCTTCTCCCATATGAACAATTAGCAGCATCGATGCGACCACCGACTCTGATTAAATTTTCACTTGATAAAAATGGAGATAATGCTAAAATTTTTGATTTAGGACTGATTGGGTTTTGTTTAATTAGGTCAATAAAATCTTTAGGAAAGCTTTCTTGCTGCGAAATTTTACATAATAAAAGAAATGATTTATTTAATTCATCAAGAGTCAATTTGCCAACTTGCTTAGATTTTGGATTTTTAATATTGTAAATAAAACGCAGAACATAGGCCATAGTTCGACGAATTCTTGTAAATTTTGAAAATCTTTGCCATTCGATTATAGAAGTCTGTAATATTGTTGATAAAATAACTTTGTTTTCAGTCAAATCGACATGTTTGTTGGGTTTTAAAACAGGCCATAAAGAATCATCAAAATATAGGAAACTGGGCCCTGACCACCACAGATTTGAATTTATGAGCTGAGTAGCACTAACACCTCTGGATATAAGATCTGCCGGGTTGCTAGCAGTGGGTACATAATGCCAGGATGAAGGTCCTGTTTTTTCTAATATTGAACCAACTCTGTTAGCAACAAAGGTCTTAAGTTTATTTGAACTGCCACTCAGCCAACCCAACACCACGCTCGAATCAGACCAATATATTATACGGTCTGGTTTAAATCTTATTGAATTGATGACACTATTGCATAATCGCGCTGAAAGCAACGCAGCGCACAGTTCTAGTCGCGGTATTGTTGTTGGCTTCAGCGGAGCCACCTTCGACTTAGCACATAGAAGTTTGACAAAAACCTTGTTATTGGCGTTTGTGGACTTAACATAAACACAAGATCCATAAGCTGCCTGTGATGCATCACTGAATACATGAATTTCAACGGAAGTTGGTGCATCACAAACAACTGTTCTTGGAATCTCTGATCGTGATAAGATAGGTAGCGAATCCACAAAGCCTTGCCAAATCGAATTGATGTTTGATGGAACTGGCTCATCCCAGTCTAGTTTAAGCTGCCAAATTTTTTGTAATAGAATTTTAGGTACAATGACACATGGACTTAGAAGACCCAAGGGGTCAAAGATCTTAAAAGCATTGGACATGATAGACCTCTTAGTTGCACGTATATTTGTAGGGGGGAGGATTATAGGAAAGTGTAATATATCATTATAGGGATTCCACCCCAATCCTAGCATGCTTGAAGATTCACTAAACGTTAAATTTTCATTGCCTTTAAGTACAGAATTGTTGAATAGAGAAGGCAAATTTGTTTTGTATTTTCTCAAATGAAAACATGCTTTATTGAGCTCGCTTGAGACTGATTCTTGTATATATTTTAATTGTTTTTCACTGTTGGAACCAGTTATTAAGTCATCGATGTAAAAATCCTTCTGTATAATAGTTTTTATAGCTTCGTCTTTGCATTCTTCACCCACCTGCCAAACACATCGAGTGCTCAAATAACTTGCACTTGCAGTACCGTAAGTAATGGTATTTAAGCGCAATGTTTTTATTGGTTGAGACTCATCTTCCCTCCATAAAATAAGTTGAAGGTCGCGATCTTCCTCAGCAACATATATCTGACGGTACATTTTTTCGATATCAGCTGTTAGGAGATATTTGTATTGGCGAGCTCTTACAAGAATGGAAAAGAGAGAGTCCTGAACGTTAGGGCCTACCCTAAGAATGTCGTTTAATGAGAAGCCTGAGGAAGTGGGAGCTGATCCATCAAAAACTATTCTAATTTTTGTCGATTCGCTACCCGCTTTAAAAACTGCATGATGACAAAGAAAGTAGTTAGTAATAGGCCTTGACACTGTCGATATGGCAAGATGATCTAAATCTGCATACTCTTGTATAAATTGTGAATATTGTAGTTTGAAATTTGTATCTTTTCTAAATTGTTTCTCTAAGTTATACAATCGTTTTTTGGCTAAATTGTATGAGTTTCCAAGACAATCTGCCGAGTCAATAAGAGGCAATTTAACACAAAACCTACCGTCAGAGAGTCTTATTGTATTTTTTTTAAAGTGTTGTTCGCATTCAAATTCTGATTCACTATAATTAGGCACTGGAGGCAGCTCTTCAAGTTCCCAGAATTTTCTAAGTAGTTCATCGTTGATTTCTTGCAAAAGAACTTAACTCTTTATTTTGATTTGTAATTATATGATTGCAGTGAGTTTTATTGATTTGTTGCCTTTGTTTAATAGAATTTAATGGTATAGGACCAGCAATCAGCCAGCCAAGGTGAGAACTTATTAACTTAGCCCTATTAAGACCTAAGGATCTTTGCTTACTCTTTAAAATGTCCCAAAAGATGTCAGCTCCGATCAGCATGTGAATAGAAGATGGCTGATCAAAGGACGGGTCTGCCAATTCAATATGTGTTGGCAGGTTTAATTGTTTTTTATCAATAGGACACTTTGGTAGATCACCTGTTATTTCATTAATAACATAACATGAAATTTGAATATTATAGTTGTTATGCATTGATTGTATTTTTGCGACACATGATTCCTTAACAGTACTTATAGAGCTGTTTCCAATACCAATGACATTTAACTGAATAGAATTAGAATGTAATGATAGCTTATTTTGTAATTGCTTTGTTATAAAAGATGACTGACTGCCACAGTCTAACAGAGCACGAATCGTCTCAAATTTATTCGTCAATGGATTAATTACCTTGATCAACGCTGTTGACAAAAGTATATGATTAGTGTTAGGATTGCAAACATAGACCATAGATTCATTACGTGTTTTGTCGTTATCGTCGTTCTGTGTAGTATTGATAGAAGTGTTGTTGGTATTGTTATTGCTTGTTGAAGCATAGTGGTTATTTATTGATTTTGGAGTATGTAGGAGAGTATTATGTTTCTTCTTACATAGGCGACAGGGACCCATCCTACATTCGCTCGAATTATGACCCTTCCTTAAGCAATTTGCACATAAGTTATGTTTCGCAGTATCCGAAATTCTTTCTTGAACACTTTTTGCCTTAAATACATTGCAATCATAAATTCTATGTTGTTCGTTACAAATGATACATGGATAAAAAATGTTACTGTGCGTTGGGGCCCTTTCTTCACTAGAAGATGTAAATGCCTTAATTATTGTATTTGTATTTTGTTTATTGTACGAGTTTGTTGGATTTTGTGTTGTCTTATTGCTATTGTCTAATTTGTTACGATAGATTGATTCAAGTACGTCAGCGCGATCGATTAAAAATTTGTTGAATTGTTGCAAAGTTGGAATTTCGTCATTGTCAATGTTGCTACGTTGTTCCTCCCATTTAGTGAGTGTACGGTTATCCAACTTCGTCGTCAACATGTATATTATAAGACTATCCCAATTATGTGTGGGTTGTCCTAAATTGGACAACGCACGTAAATTTTTTGATACGTGATCAACCATGAACCTTAAAGCCTGCTCAGACTCTCGGGTGATAGTGTTGATATTAAATAATGACTTTAGATGATGGTTTATTAAGAGCCTTTTATTATTGTAACGATTGCATACTAACTTCCAGGCATCTTCATAATTGGCTGAGCATACTTCAAGGTTGGATATGATTCGCGCTGCGTTACCTTCTAAGTAAGATAATAGATATTGAAATTTACGAATTGGTGATAATCGATTATTATTATGAATAGAATTGTTAAACGAATCACGGAATTCAAGCCAGCGGAAAAATGAGCCGTCAAATTTTGCAATATTTAACTGTGGTAAATTAATCGGTAAATCAGAATGATCGGAAGCGTACTGAGAACAATGACCAACGGACTGTCGTTTATCCCTTTCTATTGAGGGCATTTGTTGATCAAGAAATTCCTTGGCAGTAGCCAAGCATAGTATCAAATCTTGTTCAATAATCTCCCTCTCATCCATTTCTTCATCCAAAGAATCACCCGCTAACACCTCAATTTGATCTTGCAACTCGTCAAATTTGCCTGACAATGCTTCAAATTTATTTATTTTTATAGTTAATTCAGCAACTTCAATATTTGTTATTTTAAATGATCTTGTAATCTTATCTAAATAGTTTTTAAACTTGGTTATTTGTCCCTTAATTGAACTACGCTTAGCTATCAATTCTCTAAATTGCTTTGACTCACTCATGCTTATTAACAATAAATATCCTAACAGATATGTATTAAAGAGTATAAATATTAATATATCTCACGCTCCTCGCCGCGAAGGCACTGGCCGAACTGAAAGCAGGTGATGGGTGAAGAGGCTGACCTCCAAATGAACTTGAAAGTTGATACACTCGACCCTGAAACCGTTCGGCAAAACTATTTAATATAATATAAATATATTGCCTTTGATTAAAGTTGTATTTATTAGTTTAAAATAGAACTAAAATCTACTAAAATAGTTTTAATGTCGTCGAAATTGTTGTAACGTATTAAAATAATTATTTATTGTTTTATTTTTGAGATATCGTTATTGCGAAGTTAAGGCCAATACTTATTGGGATTAAATACGGTTAATGGAAAAGAAGGACACTTATCTCAATTTCAAGTATCTCAAACTCCAATTCTTACACGGCGAATTTGTATTATCAGCTTCCGTAGGTTATCCTTTGAGTCGTCTTGCAATTATAATTATTTTCTACTTCTTTCATGAAATGGTGATAGTTTATATTTCCGTTGAACTTTAATTTCCGTGATCACGTCGGGGTCACCAAATTATGTCTCAGATGGACATATGAAAAACACTAAGTATAGTTAATAGTTTATTGCGATTCTTTTATAACACACCTTTTTAGAGAAAAAATTGTCTATCACGAGAACAAAGAGAATATTGTACAGCAATATGACGGTAGTGACACAATTATTTACAAACAAAAATAATAAGCTCCTGTGGAATTTTTAATATATTTTATTAATAGCAACTAATTGCAGTGGTGAGCGTTGACAGACTCTCTTATATTTCGTTTTTATTTCATCATCATTCATCATCATTTTATTTCAGAGTTGTAATAATATTATAGCATTAAAATATGAATGTTTTAAAGACTAGCCACATGAGCAGGACAGGAATAATAGCCGCAATATAATTATTCTCATTTTAAGTCTAATTATCAGATGGGATGGCAATCCAACATGACCGAACAGTGATCTGGCGCGGGACCAACAACGTTACGGTCTTTACGAGGCACGGGGATTAAATAATGCCAACTTTCTGACTCCAGGCTTCCACTAAAAATTTCTTGACAAAAAGTGCAATAACTGATTTTGGCTTGATCTAGGATTCGAATCCAGGACCTCATTAGTATGGTCGACCCGGGATTGTAACCAAGTCAGCAGTCGCGCTTAGTTATTATAATTATCTGCCAATTAACATGATTTAGTGAGCTTCAAGACTAAGAATCTTTATTACATCTGATATTAACTACCCATACCCCCCTCGGGAGCGGACGTCGCTTTCCCTTTTCCTTCTTAAGTCAGCCGCACCAGAAAACAAAGTCTGCCTTCCTCCGCGGACCAAATTCGATACAGGTAGGCCATGGATCAGGAAAAAGAAGCAGTGGGAAGCACCAACCCCCCTGACCTCAGCGGCGGATCAGGTCTATGGCCCCGCCACCAGTTTTCAGCCATGGACGGTAGGGAGAAGTGAGCTTCGCGATCTTAGCACCTCATGTGCGGAATATCGATTGAATATTATATATATATAATATTATACCATCTGAAAGGTAAGAAATTGGTCATAAAAGGTCAGATGACCTTATTAATTGGTCAGCGTTAGAATTTTTTTATTAAGGGTTAAAGTTTTTAAGGTCATTGAGAAATTTTAGCACCTCATTCGCGAAAAAAATAATAAATTCCACCTATGCGCGATCGAAGAGCATTTGCTGATAATTGGTCAGCTTATATAAATATATGGTCAGTTTAAATAAGTTGTCATTGTCTTGTATCTGGGCATTGAGCATTAACGCATCTCATTGGTGGTGTGGATATATATATATATATATATAATCAACAATTTAAATGTAAACGCGACAATAACATAAATACATTCTAATAATTGTTGTTAATAATATTGGTAAGTATTATGATATTGCCTTATCTATTTTACATGTTTACGATATACAGAATGGTACATCATACTGTAGAAATAATAATCTATTATATTGGTTGGTTGATTCTAGAATAATCGCTTATAAATAAAAAATAAAAATCTATATTAGTATAATATGCTATAAATCATTATATTATTAATTATTATAATATAAATTACAAATAAATAAAATTTAAGTGTCTGTTTGTAATATCAAAATAACAGCTTTTTACTAAATACATATGAAAATGTATACAGTACTTAAAACAAAACACAAATTTTACAAAAATTCTCTGTCTGTCTGTCCCTCTGTTTGTCTGTCTGCTTGTTCCGGCTAGTCTCCGAAGTGGCTGCACCGATTTTGACAGGACTTTCACTGGCTGATGTTATAAGGAGTAACTTAGACTACTTTTATTTTAGAAATAGCATATAGAATTAGGCTTCCGCGCAAAAAAATTAAAACCCTAAGTTGAACGCAGGCGAAGTTGCGGGGAACAGCTAGTTGTATATATAAATGATATTAAAAGCATATTGTCAGAAATTTAAATGATTGTAGAACTTAATATTTTTTTAAATCGATTATTTGCATATTCTTTTCATCGATTATTTACATAAAAAAATTATTTTAGTGGCTTATGGTGTAAGCCATTTAATTTAAATGGCAGTTTAATTTTTTTTAGTTATAATTATAATAATAATATAATAATAATAACTTTATTTTAATTTACAGTGATTGTAGTAAATTGGTGTGACATTACATTGTTTGTACTATCTATAAAATATGTCATTAAATCTAGTGGATGTAGCTCTGCACTCCTAGCTAGGTTACAGAATAACCTGTATTAAGGAGTGGGTGTGTGTGTGTGTTTGCGTGTGCATGTGTGTGTTTGTGTGAGAGAGTAGATAAATCAGGTTAGTTATTTTATAATCAGTCAGTTCAGGTATTTTTCTGTTTCGTCATAAGATGTGTTTTGAAGGTATGAGCGGACAGCTTTCTTGCAGTTATATAATGATAACCCATATGTAGGACATTTTTCGCTTATTTTATTGTAAAGAGACGGACCCAGGAAATAAAAGAATCTTTTAGTGAATGATAAGCGAACTTGTGGAAGAGAACAAATTTTGTCTTTTCGACGTTTACTTGTTTCCCTGTAAGGGGTTTTGCGGTGCTGCATTAGAACTGTTTGCAGAATAAAATGTTGTCGAACATTAAGGACGTTCCAGTCATTGTATAACTGATTAGTTGGAAAAATGATAGGCCGGAAAGTAGCCACTTTCAAAATGGCTCTGTGTGCCACCTCCAGCTTCATTAGGTTACTTTTAGCAGCACCACCCCAGCAGGAAATACAGTATGTAATAATGGATAAGCATAGGGCAAAATAAACTTTACGTAAAACAGTAGGGTTAGCAATACTTCTTAGGGTTTT